CTTCTCTAAGTCTCACCTCTTAAGAATTAGCTTCAGGGAAGGGTGTGGAGAAAGACCACGTGCAACCTCATAAAAACAGCTCATTTTTAAACTGCTGCCAGACATACATGTTTTATGAGTAAGACCTCAGATAATCCTTTGATTAAGAAGCTTCTTGATTCTAAATGCACAATGCTGCCAGCAAGAGAAGCCTTAAGTTCCAAGCATGCTGATTTCATTCTTTTAGACTATTACCAGTAATGTCTCTTTTCTAAGTTACATATTCTTTCACCTTAAAATTTTTCAGAAGAGAAGAAAAATCCAATTAAGATGAGTCAACATTATATTCCATCAATTCTCTTTGCTAAAATACTTCATCCCAATCTCAACAATCACTCATTCAAAACTCAATGAGTGGCTTCCGTGTGTCAGGCATTATGGGAGATGCAAAGATGAATATAAATACAAATAACTGATGCAAGGCAGGATGTCAAAGTTCAGACCAAAAAGTAGCTGGGCAAAATTAGGAAAGCCCTGTGAAGGAGGCAGTTTTTGAATTGGGCTGTGAAGGATGGGGAGAATCCATCCTAACAGGAACTTATAGGAGGTAAACCATTCAAGACAATGGGAATGGTACGAGCAAAGAAGGAATACCAAGTCATATTTGGGAAATGAAAATCTAGAGGACAGTCTGGTACCTTTAGGTGAATAGCAGTAAATTAATGTAGAATGATAAATTGGAAACACATTATGGCATATCTTAATAACTATCTGTACCTTCCTAGCAAGTGAATGACCAAATCCTTACCTTAGTAATACTAATCTAACAGAACACAGTAGAATGGAGAAAAGAAGTGAATAATGTGAGATCAACAAGAAAGAAAGTCATAAGTCTATTAAAATAGTCTAATGACATGATGAAAAAGTGAAAAAAGCAGTGGGGATGGAACCAAAAAGTGAAAGATAAAAAATAACGTGATGATAGAATTAACAGAATCTGGCAAAGAGTTGACTACAGAGGACAAGGGAGAGAGAGAAGTCAAAGATAATTTTAAGAAAATAAGACTAGGTGAATGGAAGAATGACAGTGCCATTAAAAGAATCAGGGAAATCAAGAGGAAGGCTGATTTCTAGCCATAAGGAACAATGATGAATTCCAGATTGATCATTCTGAATTTGAAGGATAGTTAGAGTGATAGTATTCAGCAAATACTTAAAAATATAAGACTGGAGATGGCAAGAAATATCAGGGACAGAAACTTGGGTCATGCCTACATTCATAAGAGGGAAAAAGCAAACAAGTCAAGAAAAGACATTAAATAACAAAAAGAAAAGAAGCACGTAGACGTAATATTATAGAAACTAAAGAAAGGGCATCAGCATTGACAAATGGTTCAGAGGGAAAGTGAGAACTGAAAAAAGTTCATAGATTTTCAAGTAGGATATTTTGGTTCACCTTCCAGATAGTATGTGTTCAGAAGTCAGATTTGAAGAGGTTAAGAAGTGAATGATTTATGAGAACACAGAAGGTTCATACTGTAGAATGTTCTTTGCCAGGCTGAAGAAGAAAACAGAGAGAATAATAACTTGGTGGGAGTTAGAATGAAATCACGGGGCCAGCCTGGTGGTGTAGTGGTTAAGTTCTCGCACTTTGCTTCCACAGCCTGGGGTCTGAGCGTTTGGATCCCGGGCACAGACCTACACACCACTCATCAAGCCACGCTGTGGCAGTGTCCCACATACAAAATAGAGGAAGATTGGCACAGATGTTAACTTAGGGCCAATCTTCCTCACAAAAAAAAAAAAAAAAGAATCAAATCAATAACTTCTCATAAATATGAGAAGCCTGAATAAGAAAAAGACATAAATTTTTTTAAAAATACAGTCTGAGTATCCAAACCAGGATATTTCAAGTACTAACAGTTCACTTCTGCTATGGACTGAATGTTTGTGTCCCCCACAAATTCACATGTTGAACACTAACCCACAATGTGATGGTATTTGGAGACGGGGCCTTTTGGAAGTAATCAGGGTTAGGTGAGGAGGGGGGGCCCTCCTGATGCGATTAGTGTCCTTATAAGAGAAGAGAAACCAGAGACCTTTTCTCTCTCTCTACATGTGCTTGCACCAAGGAAACACCATGTGAGGTGAGCACAAAGCAAGAAGGTGGCAGTCTGCAAGCCAGGAGAAGAGCTCTCACCAGAACACAACCATGCTGGAACCCTGATCTCACACTTCTAGCCTCCAAAACTGCGGGAAAATAAATTTCTGTTGTTTAAGCTGAGTCTCTGGTATTTTGTTATAGCAGCCCCAGTAGACTAAGACAGCTTCAACAAGACATGGCTTATTTTCTTGTACATAATATTATCAGCTGGAATCTCTTCATGAAACAAGTTAGGAAGGAAGCTGTAGTCTAACTCAAAATTCCCTTGCTAAATCTCTCATATCCCATAAAACCCTACAAAATTTCTCCATTACAATACAGCATGCACTGTACAACGACGTTTCAGTCAACAATGAACCACATATACGACAGTGGTTCCATGAGATTAGTACCACACAGCCTGGGTGTGTAGCAGGCTATACCATCTAGGTTTGTGTAAGTACACTCTATGATGTTCATACAACAACGAAATGCCCTAATGATGCATTTCTTAGAATGTCACTCTATCGCTGACACATAGCTGCATTAGTGAGAAAAATGGAAAATTAAGTATCATTAAAATTGCAGACCAGAAAATATATTCGTACATGATCAATAGACTCCAAAAGGTACAGAGGGAAAAATAAGGGGAAGTGGAATAAATATTGACCTAGTGCACCAGGCAGAACTTAACAAAAGAAGTCAGTACAAAACAAACACTTGGTTTCCTTTTAAAATGAGCAAAGTAAATCTATCTCACAAAACAGCTCTAAAAATGCCTAAGAAAGTTTAAAATAATTTGTAAGTGAATAACTAGCATTTGTGTTAAGTACCCAGCTAACGAATTATACCTCCAGAGAAGATATATATAATCTCATAAGCTAGAAGTAGGCTTGTTAAGAGACCCTACATTAAAGCAATTGTCACCAGTTGCTATGACTCTACTTAATCATAACCCAGTATTTCTAAGCTTTCCTTGACCCCCTAGAGATTCTTTTTCACTGATGCACACAGTCTGAAGAAGTCTATTCACACAGGTGACAAAATATTTGTAATGTCAAAGAGATTTACATTAGCATGCTAACTCTGTTCTGATCAACTCATCCCTCTGATAAGTGCTTTTTGAGGACTCATGGCTCAGTTCCTTCCAAAAAAGGTATTTCAAGGGTTCTCAAGAAACAAACACACAGAGAAGCCACACCTTACTTCCCATTACCACTTAAAATGTTTCTGTTACTACCAAGCCAATGGCATGTCTGAACTAGTGTTAATATTCCTAACACTGGTAAGAAAAATATTAGTATAATATTTCTAGCCATGGATTCCTAAGTTGTTAGTCCTCATCCAAAGCAAACGGCAAGCTTTTGCATACACAACACAGATCTAGGAAAATGGTAGGGGAGATGAAATACAACATTGCAAAGGCTACTGGAAAAGAATGGAGCTATAAAGATAGCGTCCACATTCCTAAGGAGAAAATAAACCATAGGAAGCTCTTTACATAGAACAGAAAGACAGTCTCGAAATTCAGCAGCTATTTCTTACTTAAGAGGAGCCAAATACTTTGGAAGGAAGAAAAAGCATAAACTTGACATTCCATGTGGCATGGTATATATTTCCTGTTGAATTACTGTAAAAGGTTTAACTACACAGAAAAAGCACTGGTCACAAAAACCCAAGCAAAAAACTATGTGTATGTATCTAACACAGAAGCATTAACTGGTTTAAAACCAAACACTGAGGTCTCATAATATTAAAAAGTATCTGACATTATGGGCTCAAGTGTCAGGAGATACAAATTATAAAATGTCTTAAAAGAAGAAGCGGCATTTTCATATTTTTTTTCTTTTCATGTATGTCAAGCTAGGAAACAGCTGCACCTGTGGAAACTTCAACTCGATAGACTTTTGGCTCTATCAGAGAAGATCTGATTTTCCTTTGAGGCCAAATTTGGAATCTTCTTAAAAGGAAATAAGTTATGAGTCTTCTAGAGATTATTTTAAAAGTCTTGGTTCCAGGCAGTGCTTTTCCTATTCACTTGTCTCAAAAAACTAATTAGATGCCAAAACAAGGGAAGAGGACAAGTAAAACCATGCAAAGGAAAAGGCAAAATATGTTTGAACTTCACTAACTTGGTTTATATTATCTTTGGAAGACAGCACATAGTCTGAAAATATTAGTGTTTCAATCATCTGTTGCAAAAGTTGATCATTCAGGTTAAACCTGCTCTTTGTGAAGATTATTTTTAAAAGGTGCCATTTTGAAATTTTCCCATTCAGAATAAGCTTCAGGGAAACGTGAAAGGCATAGACAAATTCTTCAAGCTACAAAAATAAAATACTTAAGGTAATTTTTGCTGTTGTGGATAAATTACAAAAGAACAGCATTTCCAGATGATGAGGCAATTAAAAATAAAGAAACAAATTAAAAAAAAAATCCCAAAGAACCGCTAGCACATCTAAATTACACAGAATTATACTTAGAGGAAAAGACTGGTAGCATTGATGAAATTCTACACGATGCAAACTCCACAAATGGGACATGGGAAGAAGATGCCAAGAATTCAAAGCCCATTCATGTTATTTGGAGGAACCTGACCCAAACATTAGAGATAATCACTTTCCTAACAAAAGCAAGATGAAAGAGAAGATGGGTGATGTGGCCTAGTCTTATTCTACAATGTTAGTTTCTAGCAACCTTAAGCTTCCACATCACAGCCACATTAAAACCCCAGTCTCCCTTTCCCTGCAGTAGATCATGCCATGCAGAGCAGACACAAGGAAGGCTGCAGTTACTTAATAAAAAAAAAAAAACAAAAAACGAAACAGCATGAAGCAAGCTCCAAAGGTGCAAGGCTGAATTGGCTACATTAGCTTACCATATATCTCGGATCTACTCTCCTCTGAACTAGACTTTGTCTTCTTGGAGGAGCTATCTGCACAAGAGCGGGAGAAAAGGAGAGAGATATAGAAAATATGGAGACCAATGTAAGGGGAAAAATTCATGGGGGAAAAAAGAATGAATCATGATCAAGTTAAATCGTGCAAACACAAAGTATGAACATCACAGGTGATAGCACTTAGAATAGTCACGAACAGCACAGGTAATGACATTTTAAAGATTTATCGAAGAAAAGACAGTGCAATAAAAATATGTTCAAACAAAACAACATATAAATAGTCTACAAAATACATTATCTGACAATTGTAGAAATGACAAAAGCACTAAAAGCTGTAACGATCTCACTATGAAGCATCGCATACCACTTTGCTAAATCTGTCTTTGGAGATGGGCACATCACAGATGAACAATACAGAATAAGTCAATCTAACAACACTATAATACTTTTATGAACATAGGGCAGAAACTTGTGACTCTTACTAGCAAGACAATAACTAATCATATAAGTGAAAGCCTCTGAGCCCCAGGATGTCAAAATTAGGTAAGAATCTCTTAATGGAGATCCAGAAGCTACATATTACATACTCCCACCACCAAAACCTCCTAAATTGATGATTGGGATTTCATTTTTACCCAGTACCCAAGATATAGGTAAATTATTAGCTATTCACTTCCTATTCTTCCCTTCCTAGATAATGCTTATAATATTTTTTCAAAAAAAAAGAGTAGTTTTATTAAAAGTACGAAATATCTTACTTAGATACAAAAAAAATACTTACTATTAAAAACTTAAAATTTCATTTCTAAATGAAAATATCTAAAAACAGATACATTATATTTATGTAGGTGAGACCTTAGCATTACTTACTTTATCTTTTGTCACAGGAACATACAACCAAATAAAACAGTATGTGCACAAAGAACACGTATCAGTTTCAAATGACAAAAGCAAAAGTATCAAGCAATTTTTATAAATTAAATACTGAGTGAGTTTACAAGGAGAAAGCAAAGGCCTATATTTTATAAGAGGAGTTCAATCTATATGTACAAAATTAAAAATATAAATGGTCAAAAGTCTACTAACATGAAAACTCTAGGAAAGATCAACAGTACTGAGGTTGAAACACGGCTCTCTGAGTTCAGAATACTTTTTGACTGAAGAAAGAGGGACCTCTATTCATTTGCTTACTCTAAAATGAGATGATCATTAATTTTTGAAGTACTTTATCTAGTATTCCAATTTACCACGATCACACATGAATTTTTAAACGACCACAGAAATTTGTAGTTGGTATAGCCTTGATTTCATGACATATTACTGTTCATACCTATGACTTATCTTAACACTAAGTCCTTGGTCTGACTAAAATTTCCAATTATGATATAATAAGTTTCTATTATCATCATTATTTTTAAGTATAATACACTTTTACAATGATGCTTCCATAGTGGAATCCACAGTGTTGAAAGTTATAACTGCTTGCACTGCTCCTGAAGGCAAAGGTTTTATATTACATAAATTGAAGAGGAAGGAGAGTCCTAAACAGATCAAACAGCTACTCCTGGGTGTTACAGCAGTTATGTAGCTGAAGCTATATTATTGTGAACTTCACTACTCTCAATATTCTCTGGAAGAACAAACAATGTTTTACCTGTGGGGTCAAAATCATGTGATGCACTGCGCTCAACTTTCTGCTTCTTATCTGTTGGTGACTCTCGGTTCAAAATACTTCCATGCCTAAATCAAATCAAAGCAATCAAATATTTACTACAAGAAAATCATTAGAATACACACTTAATTTAAAAATCCCAAGTGTTTCTTACAAAGAGAAACCAAGAAATCAGTTTACCTTACACAGTCTCATAAACCTCTTTATATTTTTCAAGAAGTTTTAAAGTTCAGTCTGTTCTATGTGTAATAAATACAGAGGCTGTTTACTTGGTTATAAAAAGTGCTTGAAAATAATAAAAGTAGTATTTACTATCAAAGTCTATTTTATTCTTAGAAATAACTGCTTAAATTCTTTTAGTGGTTTTCACAGGTTAATCACTATTATTTCTATTTAACAGACAAGAAAACAGTGCCTAAAAGTAAGTAAACACATTCCCCAATCCTACATACAGCACAGTCAGGTTCAAAATCACTGTGTAAATATAATGAATGAGAACAGTTTCAGAAAAAAATCAATCTTGCTGCCTACAGTTCTAGCCACAGAAGTCTAAGCCAGACCCAGATGACACTCGAATTATTATTTTTACTATGACCTACGCAATTACATTGAGCAGATAATGGCTGGGCAGCAAATAAAACCATAACTATAACACATATAAAACTAATTAATTGAAATGCCAAGATCAGCATTGGTATCCTGGACTACGCTGTCACTAAAAATGATAAAAGTACTATAACAATTAGCAATGATATACTACCTACACTTTAAATAATATTTATGACAACTAAGATGAGAAAGAAAAGAGCTGTTGAAGAACAAGTACGAAGGAGGAGGGATTTAATCCCAGGAAAAAATAAATATGTAGATATGGATATAGGCACAGACATATTTGAACACTTTGGATTCTCTCCTTTACTGTCTTAAAGTAATTAAGACTGATCTAGTTTGCCAAAGTTCATTAACAAAGGCAGTTACAATTACCCAAGTAATAAAATACATCAAAAACTGGCAATCCACTTAACACTCCCCAAGCTACTCACAACTGAAAACAGTCACAATAGATTTTAAAATGAAATCTCTTCATAGGGAGTGACCTTAAGCATCAATTTGAACAAACTTTTAAAATGCTTATGTTAAAAATACTGAAAATGTTATCAAAACGATGCTGTCTTCCAGAAAAAATATGCAACACCTGTTATATTTTAAATTTCTAAAACATTTTGAAAATTTAAACTATTTAAATCCACATTTTCAAAAACCACAAAAATCCACCATAATTTCAAAGGAATGCTTCTGATTAAAATTTAACCTAAAGTGCAACTGAACAACTTACCTTATAGGTTTTTTGAGGGGAAACCTGAAACAAAGGGAAAAAAAGGATAGATGTAGTTATTTCACTTGTAAGATTATTATTAAATTTATTCATTCTACTAAACCAGAATAAGGGATTTAAATATTTTTTTTAATAATTTTATTTATTTATTTTTTTCCCCAAAGCCCCAGTAGATAGTTGTATGTCATAGCTGCACATCCTTCTAGTTGCTGTATGTGGGACGCCACCTCAGCATGGCCGGACAAGAGGTGCGTCAGTGCGCGCCCAGGATCCGAACCCGGGCCGCCAGTAGCGGAGTGTGTGCACTTAACCGCTAAGCCACGGGGCAGCCCCAGGGGATTTAAATCTTACGCTGACTTTCCCAAAGCAAGATTCAGCAAATAAGTGGAGTAAGAAGGTGGATATCACTTTTTAATAACTACTTTGTTAAATCTTAAATTGCAGGTGCATTTGCCATCAGCTGTCCTTCAGTATGGGTCCTCTTTTTAAAAATCCAACTAATAATAGCAATAGCTAAATTTATTGAGGGCTTACTAGATGCTAAGCACTATTCTAAAGTGTTCACGTGTATTATCTCATTTATCCTAAAAAATAACTATGAAGATATTATTTCCATTTTACAGATTAAAAAAACTGAGGCAAATATTTTGCCATTAAAATATTATAGTTTTCCTAGCAAGGAAAGTTCCTTCTTGCCCATCACTTCTCCCCAACCCCCAAAATACCTGGGTGCTGCTTATTGCTCTATTGATCTGTCCACTCTTTGATCATGATCAAATCATGATCCTCAATTATTTATGTTTAGCTTTAATAACAAATCTAGAAAAAATTACTACTGGAGTACTGTCAGTTTTTAAAAATATGCTTCAAAAGTAGAAAACAAAGAGTAATTCTTTTCTTTTTTCAGTTCTGTAAGGTAAAAGAACTACAGCATTTCCTCCTGGTTGTCTTTTTAATATGAAATATTACTGCAGGCTTCTTGATAAGAGTTTGATGCCATACATAAACACTAAGTCTAAAAGAGTGTTCTCAAATTTCCTCCCATTCCTCTTTTCATTTCTGTCTTTTTTAGAAATTATCTCAACCTATGGCATTTTATGTAAAGATTATTTAGCCTAGGTAATAAGAACAGGGCTTAATAAGAATATAGGTAAAATTGGGTTTTTAAAAAAAGGCTATTAGTAAAGATAGTAAGAAATAAACATAAAACAATGAAACCTGAATGACTATTTTATTTGGCATGGACGTAGTTTAGTTGAAAAAAAACCTCTCAAGTACAAGTTTAATTACAATTCCCTTTAACTCCCATATAAATCAAAACTGATCCAAAGAAAAAGACAAGGAACCTAAAAACTTGCCTAATAAGTGGTAGCATGTCAGCTCACAAGAAAGTTAGGGATAACAAGGAAAGGGGGTTCTGAGATAGGACAGCACCGCTCTAGAGAATATGCTGATTAAAAAAGACTAACAAATCTTCAGAAATAAGAGTTCCTAAGTTGTCCATCCTTACTTGTTGGGGTGAGGGGGTAGGAATATGTTTTTTAATTTACAGATGAATACAAAAGTTGGCAGAAAATAATTCCCAGCTGAGTTTCTGCAAAGGATAATACCTGCAGTTAGCAACTTTGGCCACTCTGCCTGATAGCCACTATAAAAACTCCTACCCCAAACAATGCTGCTTGCGTCAGGGACTGCAACAGCCAGGGAGATTCTGGTAAAGAATCCCGGAAGTTCCCAGACTAGTGATTGTACAGCAGTTTCCTGAGCTATTTTTTCTAACAAAGGAATGGAAACGGAGGGGAAAGAAGAGGACAAAAATGGAATGAGGAGATGAGGAACAAGGACCACCCTATACTATAACTTGCTTATCATAATCTACTTACTACATTCATCAAGTACGGATAAAGAACTTTTATCAAACAAAAGTTTTTAAATCACAATACTTTTTCTCTAATCATGAAATTCCACTTTAAAGTATGTGGTAAAACAAATAATGTAGGTACAGATGTATGTGTAGTTCCATATATATCTAAGTAAGAATATCAAGGGCTTTTCTGGCTATTTCATTTGTTCCCTCCGCTCCAGCTAAGAAAATCATCAAGAGAATCCCAGTTTTGTAAAAATCCTACTGTCTGCTGGATATTGAGATGGAGAGGTAATCAGAGAGTTGGAAATAGGAAGCTAGAACCCCAAAGAAAAGCCTGGGACTAGAGTTATAAATTTGAGTAATCAACCTATTGATGGACACTGAAATTTAAAACAGCCTGTAGAGAGAAAACACCAAGGATCAAATCTGAATGACTGAGAATGGATGTGGGAGCCAATGAAGGAAATAAAGAAAATAAGTCAGAAAAGAGAAAGGGCTGTCCTAGGGGCCAAGGAAGAGATCATCAATACTATCAAATGCTGCAGAAAGGCAGTCTGAAGGCTAACAAGTGGCCATATTCTAAGCAACAAATTAGCCCAACGCTAGGCTGATGAGACAATTCTGGTGTACAAAATCCTGTATTTTCAAGCCCCTGTCCATGGTGTAGTCCAACCACAAAATCACGACAATCTCCTTTGGTTAGATATTTATGTAGAACAGCGTGCCTGAATGCTGACATAATGCTAGATGTACCCAATCAAACCATGTCTGGCTTTTGAAAATATTATACTGAACACTTGGACATAACGAACATGTTTATGCATATTTATATATGTATGTATTTTTCTAGATATAAGACAAAGTCAAAGCACCAATATAAAGAACCATAATAAATAAAGGAAAAGGTTATCAGGAATTTGAGCCACTGGGATAAAGTGACTAGATGCCTTACTTTTGATTACTATACTAAGCACACTTGTATGCCAGAATTCCTAACCAAGGGCCTTATATGCCAGAATTCCTAACCAAGAGCCTTACATGCCAGAATACATTTACTCACTGGACTCAGGATGCCTTTTCCTTGTTAGTTCTGAGCTCTAATATTAAAGCCCTGGGTAGCAATATATAGAGGGATCCCTCATTTTTTTATTTTCACACTCCTCCCAATAGGTTATTACAATGTAGAGGGAAATGTGATTTGGTAATTAAAGAATCCTAACCCAATAAATAATATACATGGGAGTAAAACTTCCATTTTTAGCCAGGTTTAACTAGTCTACAATATATATACACAGACATGATTTTATAATTGAGATATCCCTTTAAGATTGTTAAAAAGAATTTCTTCTGGCTTAAAAATAATTGCAAAGGACTGTCAAAGTTTTGTGTTATCACATAGTTGCTTATAATAAATAGCCTACTAGAAACCCTATTTTCCTTTTATTGATTTTGGTGAGAAAAGAGCTAGCCTTTTGACACCACTCCAGTGAGAAGTTTTCTGAAGGAAGAACAGGAATATCACACTCAAACCTTAATACCGACCCTCTCTCCTCCAAGGTATTAGATATTTTTTTCCTTGGGTTTAGTTATAATGAGGAATTTGGGAGTCTAGATGGTTCTTAGTAAGGGATGACTGAAATGAAGGGGAGGAAGTTAAGGAAATTTCACCTACATTGGATAGTGGTCAAGCTTTCATTAGCAGTCAAACAATGTTAGCTACTAAATTTAGAATTCTCAAAAATTCCATTGGCGGATACATCCTCATTTTAGCAATGTTAAAATGCAGGGGAAAGAACACATGCACCTTGCAATCAACAAAATACAGCATTATTTTACTGGAATCCACTCCAGTGAGGAGAGTTACTAGACAAAGAACTCTGAAAATAGATAACAATTAAGATAATTCTAAGGCTCAACCCTCATAAAATGATAAACATCAGTGCAAAAAATATACTATTCCAATATTGTTATAGTCAATGAAAATTACACATGATTTCAAGGCCTTAAGGGCAGGGACTCCTTAGAAAAAATATAACTAGGTTCATATTCTAGTTTCACAATTTAAAAAGTGCTTGAACTTGGGCAAGTTGTGCAACCTCTCTAAGCATCAGCTGTAAAGTAGTGATAATACTAGCACCTACTTCACAAATCTGCTTTGAGGATTAAACTAGAAAATGAGAAACATTAAATGAGAAGCATTGTCTAGCACATAGTAACCACTTCATTATTATTAGCTGTAAGAAAGAAAAGAATAAAATCTGAACTTTAGCGGCACAACTTCAAATTAAATAGGCAAAAGTAAACTTTAACAATATTCAAATAGGTTTTCAGCTCAGTAAAATCCACAGAAATGCATAATTCAAAGCCAGTGATAAAACCACGGATTTAACTCACCAAGTAATATTATATAAAATTAACGTCAATACTCGAGTTAACAAACTTCCCAGATGCTACAGGGTAAGAAAAAAGATCAGGTTACAACAAAAACTTTTAATTTTCCTGGCAAGTAGGGCCAGTGATTTTTTTTCAGAACCTAGTGAAACTGTGTTGACCATCCCTGCCACTTGGCAAAAAAGTCCCTATTTCCTCATCTCCTTTAAAATATCAAGAATGATTAAGGCATTCTGTGTCCCAGATGTAAATCAACTTTTTCATTTATCTATTTCTACAAAATAATTTAAATAGCCTGAAGCATAACACTTAAATCTGAAATTATTCTAATATGAATGTGAACCAGCTAGCTTTAGTATTATACCATTTTTCATTAAATAATAAACAAAACAGCTAAAAGGGCATTTGCCTGCAATACATAAGCGCTCTTAAGTATAGGGATTTAGAACATAGTGCTGACTTCAGACGAAGTGTTAATTCAATCTTTAGATCTCTGGAGAGTAAGATTCACAGAACCAAAAGGAGTAAATGACCACTAACACTCCCCTTTCCCCAAAAAAACACTAGTCATAAATCCTTTCACCATCTACAACTGACAACTGGTCCAGCTTAGAGTCACCAAAAGAACTAAAAATTATGGAACTAATAAAAGAAAGTCTATACATTATCTACCACTGCACTTTTTTATTAGCATATAGATCCAAAGCATAAAAAGTTGTTAGCAGAGCTGGCAATAAAACATTAGTTATATCAGAAAGGCTCTAAA